GAACATGATGATAGACTCTGACATTTTGGGCTACCCTATTTTCAGACAGATGACATCCTGATGTTTCAACTAGTGATGTCAACATAGTTCAACCTTTTCTGTTTGTTTACAACTAAATGAAGACCCTTCAGACTCGAGAATTCTGATCACCAGTCACTCAGTCACCCAGTTTTTGTTTCTCTCATCTCCTAGGATTCTGCTGATGCTGCTCCGGTTGTGCCCGAAGAAGCGAATATCTACAGTACATTTAAAATCATTTAAAATGCATTAAAATACTATACGTACTAGACTATGAAGGCGATGGAGAGACACAGAGAGAGAGAGAGAGACAGATCTTCCAAGAGCAGTACCAAGACATTATGAATTGATTCGATACGAGTAAAGGAAATGCAAAGGAAAGCATGTCAACATATGTCAACATATGTCAACATATGTCAACATATGTCAACATATGTCAACATTCGCTCATGAAATCGAGGCAGTGAGTTGGTGTGTGGGTGGGGAAAGGGTCTTCAAGACCTACCCTCGAATAAATGGCTGCAGCTCAAAATGTAAGGTCCCGATCCATACCTCGGACGCACAGGTGATCCATACCCCTGATCCATACGCTTGTGAAGAGATTGAAATCATTTGAGATCATTAGTGTAACTCCTTCGTTCCATACGCGCAGATCACCGCGTAGCGATCCATACACGTTTTTTGAGCCATAGATAAATTATATGATCAAACTTGCGTGCAAATTGCAACCTAAATGTATGAATGCAACATCCAATTATAATTTATCGGATCGGTGTGCCATGCGGTTTTCTACAGCAAGATTTCTGTATTGGGAACAGCGGTGAGCCAGAGCCTGTTCAGCCGCATGATTGTCACTGTCAGGAGAATTTGGCTCGCTTCAAAGCATCTTTAGATGGCAAGATTCTTCCCGAGAAATTTGGGGCGGCAACCAGCCGGGTAGCCTATTGACGCCTTTGACTCTGACGAGGAAGGAAAGTACCAAGAGATGAAGGGCAAGATGTTGATATGCTGTGCGTTTTCAGAAGCAGTAGGTAGCACTGGCTTTACAGCATCCAGTTCGACATCATGAGCTGCATCCAGCATGGTCATCATAAACCCAGCTCATCCATAGTTCAAAGAAATGAAACATCAGCAAACACTTCCTGGGTCTTCATGGATCACCTGTTTGTTGTGTCAAACATGTTTGATTTTGACCTGCATACTTTGGATGATACATATTGATATACACACTTTGGCTTATCTATTCTTCTGGAAGAATTGGCAACAAATCAAGCAATCATTCTGATTGGCAAAGCACTCAGCTTGCGGGGAAGCCTCATATTTTATGACTTTCCATATGTTTCTTTCCCAGACTTGGTTGAAAGGAAACAAATACAGGTGTCACCCAGGTTTCCGGAGGTTTCCTACAGATTCTCCCAAGCAAATCAGTCCAATCATTGGATGATTGTTGGTTCATATATGTTCATATCCCATGTTTCAATATTTTTCATGGTTAGCCACTAAACAACTAAAAATCTGTATGAATGTCACTCAAAGATGTCAGTCATGATAGTAATAGTAGCCCTTTCTTTAGCTCGCCTTCAGCTTGACTGCTGACCTCCCGAGATGGCAACTGAGAAATCCATCAATTTCCTCAGGTGATCCTGGTCCTATGCGCTCCAACTTCACAAAGGGCTCGAAGGGCAAAGGTAAACGAATGGAGGAGCCGCTGGACGGCCTTTAGGAGCTGAGCAGGTGAGTTATCCTATAGATTGGTGGACTGGACTGCTTAAGTGGTTTTAAGTGGTTTTAAGTGGATGTTTATAATTTATGGATGAAAAGAATGGATGAAGTTCGAGGGATTGGTTGCAGCGTTATGGAAGCTCTCAGCATTTCGTTGGATTGCTTTGAGGAACATTATTCTTACTATCCGGAAACAGGACAATTTAAGGCTGTCCAGCAAGTGCTTCCTTCAACCGAATCTGGAATTAGATGATTGGATTGGATTGAAAGCACTCGGTGCAGGTGTCACCCGCGTATTTGATGGGAAAAACACAGCAGTTTCCATTTTCCATTCATCAAAAATAGTCCAAATGATTCAAGGAAACCAAGCAAGGGAAGAATCGGATGAAATTCTATGAACTTCACTAGGGACTACACATGTTTGGAGATATTCCAAGATATTTTCATCAAAGGTTGGGAGGACTTGCTTTGGGAGATGGTGAAAGACACCCCCAGACCCCACAATGATAAAACATGATAAAACAATGTTTTCATTGGACCATGTGGGCATCACAAGCGAGCGCCACAACGGGGACATGCCCTGGGGCCCTGCCCACACCTTCAGTGCCTTTAGATCCCATCCCCTTGGGCCGAGCTCGACCCAAGGCCCACAAAGACTGAGACTGAGGGTCGCAAGCAACGGCGCTGGGGCAAAGGCCCAAAGGACAGCCCTGGGGCCCTAGGGGCTGGGGAGCAGGATGGTGGTCAGGTGCTGCCGGAACTGCATCCTGTTTTCAAATTGTCATCGAAAGTGGCGAGAATGATCCTGAGCTCAGATCCTTCCAGTAAATTCCAATGCTGTCACGACTGTCACGGACGTTGTGAGACAACGGTGGCGGTCTGGCAGGATGACACCATTGCAGGTGGATGATTAAAGCGACTACGAGGCAATTTCCCTGCAGAGGCAGTCAGTACTTCTAGCCCTGTTAGCGGAAAAAAAAGATATAAACTACCGTAAACACCTAACTGAATGATGCGCTTCTAGCCGTTGTATGTTCACTTCTTGGCATGATGATGCATTATGTGTCCGCTTTAGGTGTCAGGTGCACAGAAATTGTTGTAGTTGGATTGAGACCACCCAATTTTGGGCCACTGCTTCAGGTGCAGCTGCCCGGCGGTTGCGAGCTGCATTCAGTCGCTGGATGGCAGGAGCCAGAGGACATGCTGGACACACCATTCAATTTGAGTCCTGCATGAGACCTCCGCATGCGGAATTACATCATATTATATCGAGATGATCAAGAGGAAGTAGCTGGTGCTGGTGATGGTGATGGTGTAATAGATACTTACATAATCTTACATATACTTACTCAAGACAACCCCACCAACCTTGCCCACGAAAGATGGGGTGAGCAACGTGCGGATTCCGTTTTTCAGGTTTCGCTTGGTTGGGCCTTGGAATCTCAGGCTTGCCTGGGTGTGTCAGGGCCCAGGGCCTGCATGCTGCGGAAGGGAATCACAAGCAGACAGTTGGCTAGATACAGGTCAGACATGTTCGACATGTTCGAACTTAGAACTAGATTTTATTTGTACATTTGTACGGTATGTTTAGTAGTTGGTCGTATCATGTCTTAGTCCTATCATGTCTTATCCATGCCCAAATGCTGACTTGCAAGATCCACAAAATGTTGCAGGCAGCCGAATGACAAGACCGATGCCACCGCCTGTGCCTCCAAGACAGGTAGGGCAACGAGCGACTTGGATGCAATGATTTGGGCTACCCTATGTGTCGTCGATAAACCCATTTGATCAAGGCTTGGAAAGGCTCCCTTTGTGGTAGCTCAGTAGTGAGCCCTCATGTTTTGCTGTGGAGATGATTGCAGCACACACTCCTGTGACTTACGTGGTGGACCCGAAGAAAAGAATGGAAAAGGAACATCTCCACGGCAAAGAGAAAGATACTCCCGCAAGGGTTGCGCAGATTTGCGCAGATTTTCGGCCATTTTGTACAGATGCGGGAGGCCTCTTTTCCAGGAGACCTCTTTGCAGAGCAGAGGACGAGATGTCTCAAAGTTGTTTGCACCACATGCATCCAAATCCAACAAAGAATCAGGGTAGCTTTATTGATTGTATTTTTCAGCTGGGTTGAAATTTGAAACCAGCCATGAGTTGCTTTGTATGCCGGGAACTCTCGATTCTGTGCAGACGGCAGTTGAGTTGAGCGACTCAATTTTGGGGTCAATGGATTTTCCCGCCTCCCTCTTCCTTGTCTGGAGTTGTTTGCAACAGCATGCAGCCCTGCGGCCTTTTGGATCCTGCTCTCTTTGGAGCTAAATGCAGCCGATTTGGGCATCGATTCTTGGCTGGGAACCCCAAAGGTTAAGCAGTTTATCAAGTTGTGGAAGATGTGCCTCATAGTGGACAGGTGAAACACCGGTCATGGCATGAGTACAACGGATGACCCGTCAGTAACGGGGGCCTCTATTCTACAAAAGAGTCCCAGAAAAACAATCATAAGGGCAGATTGGTTCCAGAACGAGGCTGTGGTGGAGAATAACTGCCTCCTACGGATAGAGATGAAGGAAATCACTCCCTTGAAAACTATTCTGCTATGTCGTTCATGGGTGTTGGGCTACCCTTTTCTAAGATTGCTTGAGCCTTCGCTTTTGCACACACCGTGCAAAAGGGGGCAGGTGGGACATGGTGGGACCCTCCATCCACTCAGGAGTTTTCTTGACATTTCTCAGCCCTATTTATATGTTCAGTATTCTTGTAATATAAATATATTACCTGCAAGAACGTTGCACAAAATGCCATGATTAGCTCGCTTTTTATGTCGGCCCAGTGGCAGCAAGGCATTGTCTTGACAACGCCTTAGGTCGCCTTGTGCTGGTTTTCAGGCTCAAACCCAACGTATTCCAACATATGAATTTGATTGGCTCAGCTCTCACACGTGAAAGTATGGGATAGGCCGGATAGGCTGCCGTTTTTCAACTTACTTGGCAAAAGAATCGAAATAGTAGAGATGAGGGAATTTCGAAGTTGTACAGATCTGACAAGCGCAAAGAATTTAGAAGATATATTGGTGTGTATATACTCTTATTGTACTCTTTGATTGCTCCATGACACATCGGACGGGGGGTCATTGGCAGTGTTTTGCAGTGCCAGTATTATTGAACGATTGAACACAACCATGACCTGTAGAAATAGTAGATCTGTCATGATGCTTCCAAAGAAGATCGTGAGCACAAGGAGGGTTTGCTTGAATATGTAGAGATTTGCTATAGCCAGCCATGGATGTACACTATTGCATAGTCCCGTTGCGACCAGACCGTGTTTGCAACCCAGTTCTCCGAGCTGGAAATCGTATGTTCTCACGATTGATGCCATGTTGATATGTTGGTTCACTTCCAGTTTGTGATTTTATTGTGTTGTTTTGTCCATCATTTGGTGTAAAAAGGTCGTTTTGGGTCTGTTCGAAAAGAAGGCAAGCTCCAATTTCAATGGTCTATCAGCATTTTCTCAATGAAGGCCACTTGGTTGGTATCCCGTTTCAAGACACACCCAAACGTTGGTGCACGTTGGTACTGTTTGTTCTTGCGAGGTGTCAGCGTTGTTCAACGGTCGCCCCTGCTTAACGCAAAGCATTCGTCGAGCAAAGGCTGCCACCTTCTCCGACCGATTGGTTTGTCCGAAATTGGGGGTACCTTACCTCCACGGGTTATTTGAATACTGAACATGATCATTATAAATCCTTACACTTGTGGGGTTCTGTACTTTCAGGCAAACCATGGCAAACCTATAATGTATAGTTGTTTTCTCTTCACACTGATAAGCGAATAGCATTCAACGTCGGAGCTGCTTACAGCTGCGGCCAAACATGAAAACATCAATCCCGCGTAAACATTTTGGCTTGAAGAATATTGATGACTTTCTTCCGTAGTTTCATGTAATTTCAATATGGATGGCGTGAAACACACAAACAGGACTGTTTTCATACACATGTCCATCAGGGAAATGTTTGGTGCTGGGCAGGCAGATTTTACAGCACCTGAATCATCTATGGATATTCCTTTATCCTATGCCCTGTGGCCGGTTGTTTGCCGTTCCTTTGCTGCAGTAACGCGTTTCCAGTGCTCTCAGTGAGGAGCGGATTTACCAGATGCAGAACTTGGATGTTTGCCGTACATGTCATTCAAGAATACGATTACGGGAAGCATCTCAAAATGCACCCCTTGCATGACATCCACGGTTTCAACCCTTGCTCAACGAGGCCTCTACAATACCAGGAAGGCTGTAAAGGCCCAAGAGGCAAGTTGCAAGTAGTAAACCAGTAAAACTTGGGCAAGACCAACCATATTGGGATACTGTACAGTATAAATATGTATATATATATATAATTAGTTGAGAGATAACTAGATGTGGACTGAGATGAAGAATGGGATTCACGATGGGCCAATGGGATACATCGTGCAACTAAGCCTCATGGAGACAGGGATTTGCAACTTACATGATGTAGCATGGTTTGGCAGAGGCACGTTCATCGTTACAGAATCATATCCTTGATATTTGGTACTTGTAGTTTTGGGTCATGAATCCCGGGTTTCCAATGGACTCCCTTTTCGTGAGGATTATCACAATTCACCCCCCCTCTAAATTCCAAAGCACCAGCGCCACCAGTTGTCCGTTGAAGTCATGGGAGCAGGCTGCCAAAGTGCAGCTAGAGAAGAACTTGGCAGCACAGGAAGCTGAAGGTAGAGGGAATTCTGGTTGTGGAGGGAATTCTGGTTGTGAAGGTAGAGGGAATTCTGAATGCCTTTGTCCAAGGTCGGGTGATTTACACCCAATTTGTGGCAGCTTCAATGGGCACAATTGGGAAAAAAATGGCAAACTCCAAAATTGGAATTTGGATAGGAAACAAATCTGATGATATATTGGAATTGGAGGTATGTCATGGTATGTCCCATTTTGAGACACGCCCATTATTTGGGGGTTCCATGAGCTTCCCAACTCCTCGCGCCAGCCGAGAAGGAGGAAGACCAGCTTGAGGCCTGCTTGGACGTATCAAACGTAGCGTGACGTGTGTTTTACCAAGGACCAATGATGGGGCAGAGACAATTCAATACCCCAGTCCAGGACCCTTCAGTAGATGAGCTGGAGGTGGATGAGACTGAGGACACGGGCTGTGGCTGATAGAATGAATGGTGAATGACCGAATGGTGGATGGTTTTTGCTTGGATCCATGGTATTAAATGGTATTAAACATAGTTAATGTATGTTAAGCACATATATATATATATTTGAATCTCGCAAAGCTGAAGCGCTGCTCCAAGACATCAGGAGCTGGAGAATCTGGAGGACTTGGATGAAGCCGAAGTGAAGTGTGCAACCGAAAGAGAGGCCGGGTGGCACCGACCGCCGGAGCCGCTATGAGCATCGCTATGAGTTTGGAGATGCGGATGGGATGGGCTGGGAAGGGCTCAAAAAAGCTGCCAAAGCCAGTGCCAATTTTGTCAATCGACTGAGTTGATCATGAAGGTCATGATCGATTTATATTGATTTGAACCATTCATTGTGAGCCGATCCCATTCAACCATGTTGAAAAGTCAGTGCAGTGCAGGCAGGCAGCTTCTTAAAAGAAAGCGATCTGGACGTGACGCTCAAAGCAGCAGCCAGAAGCTTTCCGAAAAGCCCACAGCAGGCACTGCAGTGGATCGTATCGTAGTAGCCGTTTGACTGATGATGGTGAAAATCATCAAACATGAACAAACATGGTGCTTAGTATATGTTCGGATTGGGGTTTGTAGCTGTCCTCATATAGCTTTACTTCAGCTTACTGAAACATATATTTTCCCAAACCTAAGGGCGGTTAGCTGCTTAAAACCTTAAAGGTATATGTTACATGTTCTTTTTGTACGTTCTTTTCTTAGTCTTTTATTAAGCAACAATAGGGAATGACATTTGGGCACCCTTTCGAATGAAATCGTCGCCGCAGGGCAAGTTCGCCAGTCGGAGTGCTGTCTTGGACCAGATGTCACGAGCTGGAGCAAAGAGGCCGGGTACGGAAGATGCCCCCCATGTATCTGAGGTGTTGGAGGCAACGCTGTAAACTAATGGGAAATTCGATGGGATTTGATGGTATTTACATGTATTTACCTGAATTCACTGGGAAATATGGGTTTGTAATGGCATCCCCCTGACATAAAACACCACCTAACTGGTCCCAAATAAGTATGAATATTGCAAGTAGTGGCCTGCCCAGGACATGGCAATGGACTGCTGGCCCAGAGCCACCCCTTAGAGAGGCGCGTCAAATTTGTGGTGTTCCCTTTGAGATTTATAGGGATTTTTGGGATTTTTTTTGGGATATCATGGGGATATAATTGGTATATAATCATATTGGGAATATAGCCTTTGTAAATCGAACATGGCTAGTTGGGAATCCTCAGACAAATGATGACAAATGGACATTTAAAAAGGGAAATGGGATTTTCCTGAAGCCCATGCTGCAATGCTTGAGTACCAGAGGGTATGTTTGCCACTTGTACTTGGGTATGACCCTCCGCGACCAAGCAAGAGTTCGTGCGTTTCCTTCAGACCGATATTGTTCTTGTTGTACAGAGACAGACACTGAAAGCCGAGGTTTGAGTGGATATCGAAGTTCTTGATTACTCTTGATTTCCAATTTCCAAACACCAACATTTCCAAACACCAACATTCACTGCAATCGTTCGAAGGGGTTTGTTTGAGGCGAGGTGCCCGAAATTAAATGGATCATTGTTGCTGACTTGCAATGTTTTCCCCTACTTTAGGATAAAACCAATTGTATCCATTTGTCAAATTGATTCAAATTGTGTGTTGCGTTCTCATTACCTCATCATGCCATATCCTCGTTTTTGATGTTTAAACCTCCATTGGCCCCACATGTTTCCTTCGTTTGATGTTTTTGATGGCAGCTTGTGCTGTCACAGTCCAAATCAGGACTGTCCCAACCCAGACGGAAGCTATGTTGCCAGGCCTAGCCGTGCGGTGCTATCTGAAGTTGTCCATCACTTACTTTACACTCCCAACAATGGATACCGGAACAATAATTAGATATAATTAGCATAAGTTTGCCATATCAATGAGCTTCGTGAAGGGCGCAGTCAAAAATTAGCGAAAAAAAACATGGTCGAGCTAAGCTGGGTCGAACTCTGGGGCGCCAGGTTGGCTCATGGCCTTGAAAGTGTGGTTGAGTTGCGTGGAAGGCGGGATCAAGGTCAACCTGTTGGGGGACGGTAAATCACCCCGGTTTGGACACTTGAATCCCTATTTTCAATCATATATATATATATCATATTCATAACATATTATCTTCAATGATTGACTCACCATTTTGGCTGCTTAAGCCGTTCTCGTTTAATTAGTTGGGGGACGAGTTTTGTTGATTAAATTGGTTAAAAATATAATTTCTTTTGGGGAAAAAAAAACGTTAAAAGCCACCACATGCCACATGTAGGTCCATTCGTCAAACTATTACTTGGCAAAAACAGAACAAAAAGAAGATTGGTTATAGTTATATGATGTTATATATATATACATATATATATATACTGTATATATGTGTGTATACATACGTATGCATATAATATATATATATACACGGTGCCAGCATACACCCCATCTCCTGTCCCCAGAACCTGGCGCCGAGGTTGGTCCCCTTGACCGGGCTTCCCAAGGAGAAGCGCCGAGACTTGCGTCGAGTGGCGCAGCCGGAGGCCATGTCGTTGTTGCAGTCGGGAGAGCTGGTGGATTCATACCATATTATACCTATAGTATTCAGGTAATAGATGTAATAGATATACATATTAGGTATAATATGGTATAATATGGTATAATTTGGTATAATATGGTATAATATGATACCTAATAGATGTAATATATTATACATATTATACCGTAATAGATGTAATAGGGTACACCATTATTGGTTATATATGGATTATGAAATATTTTTCGGTAACATACCAGTAGTACCGCACAAGGCGGTGGCGGAAGTTTCAAAAATAGGAAACCTATAGGAGAGGTTGGTTGTTGTGAATCAGGGATGGCAAAGCGAATCCACTGATGGACCGAAAGGTGCTTGAGGTCTCCTCTCTGCCTCTCTCTTTCTCTGACTATCTACTTACCTACCAGCCTATCTTCTATGTATCTATCTATCTATCTATCTATCTATCTATCTATCTATCTATCTATCTATCTATCTATCTATCTATCTATCTATCTATCTATCTATCTATCTATCTATCTATCTATCTATCTATCTATCTATCTATCTCTCCATCTATCGATCTATTGTTGTTGTAGTTGTAGTTGTTGTAGTTGGTGTTGGTGTTGGTGTTGGTGTTGTTGTTGTTGTTGCTGTTGCTGTTGCTGTTGCTGTTGTCGTCGAAGTTAGGGTAGTTAAGTTAGTGAAGTTAGTTAAGTTAGTCAAGTTAGTTAAGTTAATCAGTGTCTACTTTTTCGACATCTTCACGTCAAAAAGGCTCAAAACCCTCAGTTTTTTACACTTTTGACTTCGAAATGTGCTTCGCGCCACAACGGCGTGCACTTTTTCGACACTTTTTCGACATCCGAACCTCCAAAAGTGGTCCGAGACCGTCAGTTTTTAACACTTTTGACTTCAAAATGTGCTTCGCGCCACAACAGCGTGCACTTTTTCGATATCTCAACTTCCAAAAGTGCTCCGAGAATGGTGTGTTTTGTACATTTTCACTTCAAAATGTGCTTCGCGCCACAACGGCGTGCACTTTTTCGACATCTCAACTTCCAAAGTGGTCCGAGAATGGTGTGTTTTTTGTTTTTTTACATTTTCGACTTCGAAATGTGCTTCCTCCAACCACGGCGTGCACTCTTTTTTTTTTTTTTCGACATCTCAACTTCCAAAAGTCGTCCGACACTGAGGTGTTTTGTGCATTTTGACTTCAAAATGTGCTTCGCGCCACAACGGCGTGCACTTTTTCGACATCATAACTTCCAAAAGTGGTCCGGACCTGAGGTGTTTTGTACATTTTGACTTGGAAATGTGCTTCGCGCCACAACGGCGTGCAATTTTTCATCGCTCCTGTGGCCAGCTGGCTCCGCACCCGCCGCTTTAGCGAGCCTACTTTTGGAGCCTCCGGAGCCACAAATCATTGAAAAACACAGTGTTTCGCGACTTTCCTACCTTTTCGCGCATCTGCATCTTCTTTCTTCCTGACTCTTTCTCTTCTGATCTTCTCTCTTCTAATCTTCCTCTTCTCTCTGCCTCTGCCCTGCTCTGCTTTTCATCTGTCCATATTGTCCGAAGTTTGACTTCTAAACTTCCTTCGATGATTGTATAATATGATTATGATGGTATTGTCCGTATTGTGGTATGTACTATGGTAGTATATGAAATACTACTATGGTATGATAGTATGATGGTATGTACTATGGTCATATGTTAATGGTAATTTATCACAATATATCATATAGTATTTCTAGTAATGTAATAGTACATCCCATGAATGGAAAGTAATGGTATACTATGTACATCCTAATATTTAATGTACCATGGTAGTATTATGGGATGTACTTCTGGTTATATATTACTCCGATTCATAATTATCGGGTCATGGTATATAATATATGAAATATTACCATGATTACTATGGTAGTATAGTACTATGGGCTGTACTATGGTAATATATTAATGTATTACTATATTTTTTATAACCTTCTACGAAACCATCATAGAGACCTGGAAACAACGATAAGATCCTAGTAACAACGATAAGAATGGTAAGATCATCACGATAATTCTTCTCTATATATACCTTTAGAATATATTTGAACATCTAGGTCACAGAATCGAATCAGTGTGCTGCTTGCGCGGCCGGTGCAGTCGGGCTCAAATCCTTGGGGTTGAGCGACCGTTGCACCTGTGCGACTTCGTTGAGGCACCCTTGGTAGGAAAAACTGAAAAAAAACAGTTCGAGATGCCCAAATGACCTTGAAACTGACCTAGACACACATCAGTTGACAGGTATGCAGGAGAACCCATCTTCTCCTCAACACTGCCGTACACGTCCTCCTCACCGGCAAAAGACTCGGTTGAATTGTCGAGTCCAGCAATTGTGAAACCGGATGTATTATTATTATTATTGTTATTATTATTATGCTTTTTGAGGATTTTAAACGTCTGAATAACTGGTAAAGTAGATGGGGATGATTCAAGCAATGGGTTAACTAGATGTTTGTGTCGGTTTTCCGTGAGAGATGCTAATTAATCGCGGAATGAAAACCGCTGATCCAAATAGCTGTGAACTGCCATTGCAACACTAAAGTACTCAAGGTGCACTCAATGAGCAGCAAGGTTTTTTAGTGTGTTGGATCGAGAGGCAAGCCCTAGTCATTTACCTACATTATATAGTATTTGAGGAGCTTGTGGCTATTCTTGATCTTCCCAGAATGGCTCAGGTGCGCACTGGTGCAGCCAAAGGTCCCGGTGAAGGCGTGAGAGACAGGTCATTTTAAAGAGGGTTCCGAAGAAGGTTCCGGAAAAGGTCACAGATAAGACAAGGTCAAGGTCTGGGAGGCTTTGTTGGAGAGCCAGGTCAGGTTCAACATGATTCCAGAAACGGTTCCGGAGATGGTTCCTGAGATTAGTCTCCGGCAAAGGTCTAGAAGGCTTTAGTGCAGGTCAGTTTCGGGTTTCGGAGAAGGTACTGGATGCAAAATGTTCCGGGGAAGATTACGGAGCAAGTTCCGGAGAAGGTCTGGGAGGCTTGGTTGCACAGGCTGGTCCGGCTCGGTGTCAGGTAGTAGGTTTCGAAGGGGCTCTAGGAATTTGTGCTGCAAAGACAGGTCAAGTTTGTAGTGCCACATCAGTTTCAACAGGGTTCCGGAGGTGGTCCTGAAGCATGTTCCAGGAAATTGTTGCGAAGCCAAGTCTGTTTCAATGGATCCAGTGGAAGATTCTGGCGAAGGCTTGGGAGACTTGGGTTCAGAGACAAGAAAGGTTCAACAGGCTGTTGGAGAAGGTCCGAGAGAAAGTCTGAGAGCTTTGGTGCAGAGTCAGCAGAGGTTCAACAAGGTTCTGGCGAACATTCCGGAGATGGTCGGGGCGGTTTTGGAGCAGTCCAAGGCGTTGCTAGCAATTGCATTCTTAGATAACATCCTTTGATGGTGCAGCCGAAGCGTATTTTGGATGGGACGGTTTGTGCAAAATCATACGATGTCATTGGCCTCTTCCGGAAGAGCAGTGATTAAACTATTTGGATCAGATTTGCCCCTAAAGACACCTGATTCAGTCAGGGATGTGACGGCACAAGTGGTGGCAGAGCTGACCCACTAGATGTTTGTGTCGGTTTGTTTGCCTGTCACAGCCTTTGTGCAATTCTAGCGGATCCAGTGGCTTGGAAGGCAGGCCAACTAAGCGCCAAAGCGCATGGCGCGTCTGTTTTATTCGGAGGGATCGAAGCCAGTTCAACCTAACAGCCTACATGGGAGTCCACCCATCGGGCCATTTCTGCCGTTTGAACACTTGCGTAAAGATGTAAGAACATGCAAAGCCATTGCCCCAGTCCCAAAATTGGATAAAGATACTTTCTCCGATGTAGGCCAAAAAGGTTTGCAGTGATAGCAGGATTCGATGCGAATGCTTTATCTGTTCCAAAAAGTGTTTGGGATACAATCGGGTTGAAGGGTCTGGCGGCATCCTTGCTTGTTGGACAGGGGAACCTCCTGGATGAAACAATTCCCTTGTTGTGGTTTGCTTGTTAACCTGAGCACTTCAATCGGTCGAACAAAGTTGAGATTCATGTTCCTGAGACAGCAGCCTGCCCTGAGGCCAATCCACTGGAGAAGGCTCCGACATCTTTGTGTGTTTGTACGCACATATGGAAAGACAATATTATTCCTATCATAGGTGACAACGATTCAAAAGCGACGTAAAAGCACCTTGTATATATCCCTTTTTTTAAAAAAATATATAATACAGAAATAATACATATCATGATTGATCCACCAAGGATTGAAATGCTGCCGAGAAATCAATTGCCAATTTTAAGTGCAGAAAATAATCTGGCGGTCCTTACAATTTGCCATGCAAAACCATACATAGAAGTGGACACCACAAACGATGAGATGGAAAAATTAAACCGCAAACCTTTCCTTCGAGACGACTCGGCGAACCGGACGGATGGGCTCGGCTATGTCTTAATCTTGGAAAATTATCCATATAATCACAGACAAATTTATTTTCAGCAAGAAATTTGTGAATAGAGTCAATCTTCATTGATTTGTACAATGTAGTTCTAGAAGGATTTCAAACATCTTCTAAGCATCGTCCTTGGAATGCTCTACACCTGCATGGTCATGTCAAGAACCCATTTGCAACCCTATGCTACCTAGATTCGGTCAGTTGGACTACCCTTGGTTTGTATAGGTAGACTAAAAGCAACAACCATGGCTGCCCAGGCCCAACCGCAAGACAGAGCCAACTGGATGAGCCGCAAAAAGGGGCTACCACGGAACGTGATGGTCGGCAATTGTCGGCAAACACTTTGGGATGGATCAAATTCAAAATGGATTACCTTATTGCTTAAAAATATAAAGCAACCATCTGGAGGAATATGATCCATGATTTTAACCATCCACGGTCACAAAATCATCGTTTCCCAACAATTCCAATCATCCTTTCGTACCAAGAAATCATCGTTTCGAGTACGTAAAGCATCATTTCGTACCCACCAAG